ACATGCCACTATGTTACACAGCGTACAGAGACGGGCACTCTGCCTGTCTCTGTACACCTATTAGAGTTAGTCTGAATTACCTCCAGATTTTGCTATTATCGAACTGAAAAGAAATAAAGGAGAAATCTTCCAATGGGGACATTAGTTCTGGTGACAACCAGTGATTCCCTCGTTTTTGAAGCTCAGTACAGATGATCTCCTTTCCTGCTGCTGTTTTCAACATTCTTTACAAATAAATCTGTGAAAAGTGTGGCAGCATTTGTATTCAGCCCCCCCGGAGTCAATACTTTGTAGGACCCCCTTTCACTGCAATTCCAGCTGCAAGTCTTTTTGGGGATGTCTCTACCAGCTTTGCACATCTAGAGAGGGACATTTCTGCCCATTCTTCTTTGCAGAATAGCTCAAGCTCTGTCAGATTGGATGGAGAGTGTCTGGGAACAGCAATTTTCAAGTCTTGCCACAGATTTTCAGTTGGATTTAGGTCTGGACTGTGACTGAGCCATTCTAACACATGAATATGCTTTGATCTAAACCATTCCATTGTAGCTCTGGCTGGATGTTTCGGGTCGTTATCCTGCTGGAAGGGGAACCTCCGCCCCAGTCTCAAGTCTTTTGCAGACTCTAACAGGTTTTCTTCTAAGATTGCCCTGTATTTGGCTCCATCAATCTTCCCATCAACTCTGACCAGCTTCCCTGTCCCTGCTGAAGAAAAGCATCCCCACAACATGATGCTGCCACCACCATGTTTCACGGTGGGGATGGTGTGTTCAGGGTGATGTGCAGTGATAGTTTTCTGCCACACATAGCATTTTGCTATTTTAGGCCAAAAAGTTTAATTTTGGTCTCATCTGACCAGAGCACCTTCCACATGTTTGCTGTGTCCCCCACATGGCTTCTTGCAAACTGCAAACGAGACTTCTTATGACTTTCTTTCAACAATAGCTTTCTTCTTGCCACTCTTCCATAAAGGCCAGATTTGTGGAGTGCACAACTAATAGTTGTCCTGAGGACAGATTCTCCCACCTGAGCTGTGGATCTCTGCAGTTACCATGGGCCTCTTGGCTGCTTCTCTAATTAATGCTCTCCTTCCCCAGCCTGTCAGTTTAGGTGGACGGCCATGTCTTGGTGAGTTTGCAGTTGTGCCATACTCTTTCCATGTTCGGATGATGGATTGAACAGTGCTCCATGAGATGTTCAAAGCTTGGGATATTTTTTTTATAACCTAACCCTGCTTTAATCTTCTCCACAACTTTATCCCTGACCTGTCTGGTGTGTTCCTTGGCTTTCATGATGCTATTTGTTCACTAATGTTCTCTAACAAACCTCTGAAGGCTTCACAGAACAGCTGTATTTATACTGAGATTAAATTACACACAGGTGGACTCTATTTACTAATTAGGTGACTTCTGAAGGCAATTGGTTCCACTAGATTTTAGTTAGAGGTAGAGTAAAGGGGGCTGAATACAAATGCATGCCACACTTTTCAGATATTTATTTGTAAAAAATTTTGAAAACCATTTATCATTTTCCTTCCACTTCACAATTATGTGCCACTTTGTGTTGGTCTATCACATAAAATCCCAATAAAATACATTTACATTTTTGGCTGTAACATGGCAAAATGTGGAAAATTTCAAGGGGTATGAATACTTTTTCAAGGCACTGTAGATAGGAAGCACCGTATCGCCAAAAATGGCCTGGTCAGGAAGGGGGGGATAAATCCACTGGAGGGCAAGTGGTTAAAGAGGGGTGGGCTCCCTCCTGGCATACCTGCCCCTACTCTATCCACTATTATATATATGTGCTCCAACATGGCAGACTCTCAAAATGAAAGCGGACTGCAGTACACTGGGGGTGCTATGATGTGACTGCTGCATCTTACGCATATATTTGTAAATGTGTGCGAACTAAACCCCTTGTTTTTAGCATGAATGGCTAGACAAGGGTAATTGGGTTTGTTGCAGGCTGCTGGTATGTGAGCTGGGAATTTTTGCTTGTTTTTTTATATGTACATTTATGCCTGTTTGGGCGTATTGTGCGCATACTACTTGCGCATAAAATACCGACTGGCAACTCAGGTTTGTGTATCTCATCTATACGCAGCACATGTTTACGCACATTGACAATTAATTTAGATCTTTATAAAAACACACCTAGATACCTACAAACACTAAATTTTTAGGCACCAGTGTGCAAGAGGTCTACGCAAGAAGGTCAGCAGGACAGCCAGCATGTTCAAAGGGATTCCTCAGCAATGGCAGTTTGTCTTTTGTGCATCCTGTGGGTGATGGCAGTGAAGAGATATGGAAGGATCTTGCTCGTCCTTTTGGTTTTTTCCACGTCGTCCTGGATCCAGGCTCTGGGTACTGGAGTGACAGGGTTAATGTCCCCTCCCAGACACCTGATCCGCCGAGCGGTAAAAGATGAGGTTACCTGGCTTTGTTCTGTCACATGTAACACAAGGAAGGGAACAGGGAATAAATAAAGTGGCGTCACGCCACACTCTCTGCCTTCTTCTACTGTAATGATACGTAACGTATTCGCCGTACATAGAGGACTTTACTTCTGTCCTGCTAATCACTATGCACCAGGGGCGGACTGACGACTCATGGGGCCCCCGGGCAATAGGGGATCATGGGGCCCCTGTGTCCTCGTGCACACCCAAAAAAGCCTATGAAACAGCCAATGAAAGGTAGCAAGGGCATCTCATGGGGCCCCCTACTGACTCCGGGCCCTCGGGCAGTGCCCGAGTGCTCAAATGGTCAGTCCGCCCCTGCTCCAGACACGCGTCGACCTTCCAGGCCAGGGCCTAAGGAGGCGATTTTCGGGGGGGAAACCCTACCTACTGATTTCTCATTTTTCTTGTGAAATTCTTCAGAAAGAAAATTGTTAAAAGATTAAAGCTGAACACCAAAGCAGCAAACAGCTACATACTAACACGAGAGAGTGCCAAAGGCTTCGTTTTTCTGGCTAACCAGTTCTGAGATTTGCACTGCTCTGCCACACAGCACAACCTTGTCTGGCAAGGAAGAAGACCTGATCTTCCTTTGCTGCATTTAGGTAACTCTTGGAGGTCTTGTCCCTCCCCCAGCCTTTGATTGGACAGTGGAAGGAGCAGCAGCAGACTGAAAAGCTCATCTCTCTGCTCTCTCCCCCCTATCAGAATTCTGTTTGCACTGCAGCACAACTCTCTGCCTTTGTGCTGCTTCCTCCTCTAACCGTCTGAGCCTTGACGTGCAGAGGATGATACCAAGCTGAATTCAGTTACTCCGCTCTCCATCCTATCAGCAAGCTCTGTGTTAGCACATGAGCACTGCAGAACAACTGATGGGTTCGCTGTGCTGCTTCTCCTTCTCCACACGTCTGATCTCTGCTATACAGGTGACTAACAAGAGGCTAGGACTTAAGCAGGCCATACATGGGTCGAATTCCAAACGATTTTTCGATTGAAAATCGAAAACGTCATTCGCTCTGTAGTGTGATGGTGCCATCAATGATTTCGAAAATCGGTCGTTTTTCACGAATTTTCCAACATGCCCGATAACGGAATGGGGAGGAACCACAGAAATCATCCGGTGCCATCGCCCCAGTAACAGAGCGAAAATCAGCCGATTATTCTTAGGTCTGATTTTCGAATGAAAAATCGTTCGGAAATCGACCCATGTATGGCCGGCCTAAGGCAGCTACTTACACTGCTTGTATTAATGAAATAAATGTAACTCCGTGCCACCTCCTGGTGGACCCTTAGGCTAAGTTCACACCTCTGCATGCTGCGATTGATGCATTTTTTGCATTTTTAAACACATTTTTGATCCATTTTGCTTTTTTTTCCAATAGGAAAGTATTGACATTGATGCCATTTTAATACGACTTTGGATGGGTGTGACTTGGAGGCAACTTTAATGCAAATTTGTATGGGTGAGACTTGGATGTGACTTGAATGCGACTTTAGATGGGTGCATCTTGGATGTGACTTTGGATGGGTGCAACTTGGATGTGACTTGGATGCGACTTTGGATGGGTGCAACTTGGATGTGACTTGGATGCGACTTTGGATGGGTGCAACTTGGATGTGATTTGAATTCGACTTTGGATGGGTGCAACTTGGATGTGACTTTGGATGGGTGCAACTTGGATGCGACTTTGGATGGGTGCAACTTGGATGTGACTTGGATGCGATTTTGGATGGGTGCAACTTGGATGTGACTTTGGATGGGTGCAACTTGGATGTGAGTTGGATGCGACTTTGGATGGGTGCAACTTGGATGTGACTTGGATGCGACTTTGGATGGGTGTGACTTGGATGCAACTTTGGATGGGTGCAACTTGGATGTGACTTTGGATGGGTGCAACTTGGGTACAAAGTTGATGCTACTTGAGTGCCAGAGAATGTGAAGTCATATCAAAGTTGCACTACGTGAACAGAACTGTCATACTTCATCAAGCGCATCAATATCGCACCCATGCAAAGTCACATCTAAGTCGCATCAAAGTCAATACTTTCCTATTGGCAAAAAAAAATGCATCAAAAGCGCATAAAAAATGCACTACATGTGATTCTGCTGTGTGTCCATTGAGCGCAAAACGCACCATGTTGCATTTAAAAAAGATCCTGACCCTTTCCAAAAATGCTGCGACTGCAATATGTATGGATGTGAACGTGTCCCATAGGAAACCATGGCAAATGGATTGTAGTAAGTTTATGCAAAACGCAGTAAAACTCCCCCTTGGTGTGAACGAGGCTTTAGTGCAGGAAGCAGCGCCGTTTCTCTGTCACCGAGGACTGTGATTGGTTCTCAATTGGATTTCCTGATCAGAAGCTGTGAATGAGAGCTGTTACAGCCCTCCTACAGCAGTCAGCGCAGAACCTCAGGCTGCAATGGATGCATACATGTGGCGGCTGGGTGTTAAGTCCCCGGTCAAACCGATATGACTTTGAAATCGTGCCACTTCCTGTGAAGACATGATTTCAAAGTTGGATGTCATTCTGACTTCTGGTGTGAATTGCAAGACAGCTGCAGCTTGCAAGACACAGATGTCTGTGCAAGTCCTACCTGAAGTAGTGCATGCGCTACTTTCTAAACCGGCGCAGCTCCAACCAAGTCAGAATCGCACCGATATGATCACTTTAATTGTGGACAATAGGGTGCGATTTGCCATGTGATTTGAAACTCGCATCGCATGGCAAGTTGCACCCGGTATGGCCAGGAACTTAGTGTTACTAAACCCAGGACCCTGCATTCGCTATATCTGGTCTCCCCGGACCCTGCATTCGCTATATCTGATCTCCCCGGACCCTGCATTCACTATATCTGGTCTCCCCGCACCCTGCATTCACTATATCTGGTCTCCCCGGACCCTGCATTCACTATATCCGGTCTCCCAGGACCCTGCATTCACTATATCCGGTCTCCCAGGACCCTGCATTCACTATATCTGGTCTCCCCGCACCCTGCATTCATTATATCTGATCTCCCCGGACCCTGCATTCGCTATATGTGGTCTCCCAGGACCCTGCATTCGCTATATCTGGTCTCCCCCCGGACCCTGCATTCACTATTTCTGGTCTCCCCAGACCCTGCATTCACTATATCTGGTCTTCCAGGATCCTGCATTCACTATATCCGGTCTCCCTGGACCCTGCATTCACTATATCTGATCTCCCCGGACCCTGCATTCACTATATCTGGTCTCCCAGGACCCTGAATTCGCTATATCTGGTCTCCCCCCGGACCCTGCATTCACTATATCTAGTCTCCCCGGACCCTGCATTCACTATATCCGGTCTCCCTGGACCCTGCATTCACTATATCCGGTCTCCCTGGACCCTGCATTCACTATATCCGGTCTCCCTGGACCCTGCATTCACTATATCCGATCTCCCAGGACCCTGCATTCACTATATCTGGTCTTCAAGGATCCTGCATTCACTATATCCGGTTTCCCCGGACCCTGCATTCGCTATATCTGATCTCCCAGGACCCTGCATTCACTATATCCGGTCTCCCCGGACCCTGCATTCACTATATCCGGTCTCCCTGGACCCTGCATTCACTATATCCGATCTCCCAGGACCCTGCATTCACTATATCTGGTCTCCCAGGACCCTGCATTCACTATATCTGATCTCCCCGGACCCTGCATTCACTATATCTGGTCTCCCAGGACCCTGCATTCACTATATCTGATCTCCCCGGACCCTGCATTCACTATATCTGATCTCCCCGGACCCTGCATTTGCTATATCTGGTCTCCCAGGACCCTGCATTCGCTATATCTGGTCTCCCCCCGGACCCTGCATTCACTATATCTGGTCTCCCCGGACCCTGCATTCACTATATCCGCTCTTCCAGGACCCTGCATTCACTATATCTGGTCTCCCCAGACCCTGCATTCACTATATCTGGTCTCCCCGGACCCCGCATTCACTATATCCGGTCTCCCACAGTACACAGAACATGGAAATGCAATTATTTTAGTAAATATAAATTGCTAAATACCTTTTCTCATCGGCAGTTACAGCAGTCTTGTGGCTTCTATCAGTGTCCAGCAGAGCACTGGTTAAAGCTTATAGGAGGAGTTTTCATTCTGCTCTTGGAGGATGCAGGACCTCTGTTTGAACAGTGCTAATTGGCTCTGTGCAGATCACATGCACTCTCCCAAGAAAATAAAACTCTCTAGCAATACACACCAAACTGAGCATGTGCAGAGTGACTACACAATATGTTTTATCAGGAAATAAGAGGGGGGCACTGGAAGAAGGGGAGGATCAGAGAGGTCAGGATCATACAGCATTTTTACACAATGCAGAGGATTAACCCCTTAGGTTCCACAGTGAGTATAACAAGCATGCTTTACTGCATATACAGACTGATTGTACTGTGGTGCGTTTAGTAACACTTCACCCGAGGTTCACACCTAAGAGTCTTCTGCAGTGTTTTGTGTTTTGCGGAAACGCAGTACAGTCCATTTAACATGATTTCCTATGGGACAGGTTCACATCTCCGTGTTTTCACCCAGTGCATTTTTTTTGGAAAGGGTCAGGCACTTTTTTAAATGCAAAAAGTTGCGTTTTTGGTTCTATAGACTTCAATGGAAATGCTGCAGAAAAGCACGTAGTGTGTTTTTACCGCATTTTTGATGCATTTTGCATTTTAAATCTGCCTAACAATAAGAAAAAAAACAAAACGCTAAACACATCAAAAACACGTGCAAAAACCACAAAATGCACTGCAGAAACGGATCAAACGCAAACTGTATAGGGGGGAACCTAACCTAACGCCCACTTTTGCTGCAGCTGCATATATGCCAGTTATGTGGTCACAAGAGGCTAATGTATTAATACATACAGAGCTGCACTCATTTATATGTTTCATATCTGCCTGCAGCTCAGCTTTAGGATGCGGAACACACATGTCTGAAATATGTTGTGGAGTGTGGAAGTGTGGAGCCGCACAGATCTGTGCTCAGAAGGAATGGAACACAAATAGGGAATCGTGGGGAACTGGAGAAAGTACAGAGAAGGGCAACCGAACTGATACGAGGCATAGAGGAGATCACCTATGAGGAAAGATTAGAGGAACTGAATGTATTCTCTCTTGAGAAGAGGAGATTAAGGGGGGGGGGGTATGATCACCATGTATAATACATAAGGGGGGATATGATCTCCATGTATAATACATAAGGGGGGATGTGATCTCCATGTATATTACATAAGGGGGGATGTGATCTCCATGTATAATACATAAGGGGGGATGTGATCTCCATGTATAATACATAAGGGGGGATGTGATCTCCATGTATAATACATAAGGGGGGATGTGATCTCCATGTATAATACATAAGGGGGGGGATGTGATCTCCATGTATAATACATAAGGGGGGATATGATCACCATGTATAATACATAAGGGGAATATGATCTCCATGTATAATACATGAGGGGGGATATGATCACCATGTATAATACATGAGGGGGGATATGATCTCCATGTATAATACATGAGGGGGGATATGATCTCCATGTATAATACATGAGGGGGGATATGATCACCATATATAAAACATGAGGGGGGATATGATCTCCATGTATAATACATAAGGGGGGGATATGATCTCCATGTATAATACATGAGGGGGGATATGATCTCCATGTATAATACATAAGGGGGATATGATCTCCATGTATAATACATGAGGGGGGATATGATCTCCATGTATAATACATGAGGGGGGATATGATCTCCATGTATAATACATAAGGGGGATATGATCTCCATGTATAATACATGAGGGGGGATATGATCACCATGTATAATACATGAGGGGGGATATGATCTCCATGTATAATACATGAGGGGGGATATGATCTCCATGTATAATACATAAGGGGGGATATGATCTCCATGTATAATACATAAGGGGGATATGATCTCCATGTATAATACATGAGGGGGGATATGATCATCATGTATAATACATGAGGGGGGATATGATCTCCATGTATAATACATGAGGGGGGATATGATCTCCATGTATAATACATAAGGGGGGATATGATCTCCATATATAATACATAAGGGGGGATATGATCTCCATGTATAATACATAAGGGGGATATGATCAACATGTATAATACATGAGGGGGGATATGATCATCATGTATAATACATGAGGGGGGATATGATCTCCATGTATATAATACATGAGGGGGGGGATATGATCTCCATGTATAATACATGAGGGGGGATATGATCTCCATGTATAATACATGAGGGGGGATATGATCTCCATGTATAATACATAAGGGGGGGTATGATCTCCATGTATAATACATAGGGGGGGTATGATCTCCATGTATAATACATAAGGGGGGATATGATCTCCATGTATAATACATAGGGGGGGATATGATCTCCATGTATAATACATAAGGGGGGATATGATCTCCATGTATAATACATAAGGGGGGATATGATCATCATGTATAATACATCAGGGGTTCATATAGTGAACTCTGTGTAGAGCTATTCACCCTGGAGGTCATCACAGAGGACAAGGGGACACTCTTTACATCTGGAGGAAAAGAAATTTAATCTGCAAACATGGAAAGGTTTCTTCACAGTGAGAGCTGTGAAAATGTGAATTAGACTCCATCAAGAGTTGGTTCTGGCCAGCTCAGTGGATTGCTTTAAAAAAAAGTCCTGGATTCTTTCTTAGATACACAGAATATAACTGGATACTAACATTTATAGGTAAAATTGATCCAGGGAATATCCGATTGCCTCTCGGGGGATCAGGAAGGAATATTTTCCCCTGCAGGAGCAAATTGGATCATGCTTTGCTGGGTTATTTTGACTTCCTCTGGAACAACTGTGGGTGAAGGATTGCAACTTTTTTTTTTTTTTATGGTTGAACTGGATCTGGAGGAGGCTGAGAGTAATAGAATGGACTTTTTAAATTTAAGATATATACTGGAATAGAATTTTCTAAAACCAGAATTTAGTGTCCTGTTTATGTGGTATTATTACTATGATTATTGTGTAGTCATGGTCCTATCTATGATCTGTACTGAGCCCCTCACTACGTCTTATGTACAACATGCGTTTCCACAGCCCTGGCCTCTGTATGATTCAGTGGAGGATTGGCGGATGGGGGAGGAATGCGCTGGTGTGCGCCAGACAGCTGCGTGAGAGGCTGTGACAGGCGAGGTGATGGTATTAATAATTCAGCAGCTTCTTGGAGTATTTATCCGGCTCATGTTTGCTCACAGCTCGGGTGATTTATAATAGTACAGAGAGGTCTGAGTGACTGTATAGCACCAAACGCACCAGAGGAACGCCAAACGTATTGACCTACCTGCACCTATCAGAATGGAGGAGCCTGAACCCCATTCATGAAAATCCTATCAAGGCAGTAATGCCAACAACATCCCCTGAGCACAAAGCGCTTTGTGAGATTACCATGGCAGGGGACACTGTGCTGCAAAGATGGTTCCTGCCATCCAATGGGCAATGTTGGCACAGAGGGCCACAGACCTCTGTGTTTTCATTTTTACACAGACCCCTTTCTCTCCATTTGATATAACTCTCTATTTTCCTCTGTATTTCTTTTTTCATATCATAGCTCCACAGACCTCTGTATTTTTTTTTCATATCAAATCCTCCACAGACCTCTGTAATTTTTTTTCATATCATAGCTCCACAGACCTCTGTATTTCTTTTTTCATATCAAAGCTCCACAGACCTCTGTATTTTATTTAATATCAAAGCTCCACAGACCTCTGTATTTTTTTTTTCATATCAAAGCTCCACAGACCTCTGTATTTTTTTTTTCATATCAAAGCTCCACAGACCTCTGTATTTCTTTTTTCATATCAAAGCTCCACAGACCTCTGTATTTTTTTTTCATATCAAAGCTCCACAGACTCTGTATTTTTTTTTTCATATCATAGCTCCACAGACCTCTGTATTTTTT